GCTGCCAACTAGTGGTCAGAGGCTGAACTACACAATATATCGCCTTGCTTACAGTATCGCAATATATCGGGATGTATCATATCGTGACCCCTTTGTCATGATATGTATCGTATCGCCAAATTCTTGCCAATACACAGCCCTATTAGACATATTTGGCTGGGTGTTATGACCTCAAATTCATATCAGAGTATAAACTGTACCCCTTCACGGTAATGGTATATATCGCAGTAGAAAATTATCATAAAAAGTAAAGATAATGTAATTTTTAGAGCTTTTTTTTTGCAGAAAACTAATCTTAATCAAACCCAGTATTTTTGCTTTAATATCAGCCTGTCGAACAATGAGCTTCCCCCTGCTATCAGCTGCTGCTCTGCTGCGCGCTCATCTTCATCATCTTCATCATCAGAGCAGAAGCTGACTTTACATTAACAAGATGGATTTATGGCTGAACAAATGTCCACGTCTTTTTTTAAAATCATCTCTGTGAGTAACAATACTTTAAAAAACAAGTTTTTTTCTCCAACAACTGGGTGTGGAAAAACTACAGTTGTTAAAGCTACGCTCTACGATTTGAAGTTAAAAGAAGTTAAAAGATATAGAAAATGGAAAAAGCTGTTTTGCCCCGGRACCGGGGGCGTTGGGTACAAGAGGTTAAACAAAATGAAGATATCTGCTTTAATGTTCGGTTCTGATGCTGTTTGTTCTCTGTTCTGTTGTCTCCTCAGATCCCAGGAAAAAACAACACTAATCAAACACCAGCAAAATCAGCTTCTGTACCCAAATCTGCACCTGCTAAACTGACGAAAACACCTACATCTACACCTGCTAAACCAACTTCTGTAAACAAAACTCCAGATAACAAACTTAAAGCCGCTCCGACACTCAGGAAGTCTGTCAGTGAGCCTCCTGCTGCTGCTGAGCACACCCCAAGCAGAGTTTCAGAAACCACCAGAGCCTCCATTAGAACATCATCCAGATTAGCTCAGGATAAACCAACAGACTCCAAACAGCTGATGGAGACAGAAGAGCGCCCTGTGGCTACAAGAAGCAGGCAGACAGGGAGCGCCGGGCCATCTGCAGAACATGTGTCTGAAATCAGCACTCAGGCAGAGGATAAGAGAGAGGTAAGACTGTCACAASAACCTGACGGCATTAGTTTTAAATAAAAGGTGAAAGACTGATGTTTTTYGTGTCCCACAGACGAGATCAAACAGAACTTCAGCAGCTGCTCCTGACAGGAAACCTGCTGCTGCTGAAACAAGTCAAGTTTCATCTGTGAAGGAACCTGAGGGCAGCGGTGAGGCTGCAGGATCAGGACCTCCCACCTCTGCAGACGTGGAGGCTACAGGTCGAGTGTCCACCCGGAGCAGAGGGACAGATTTAAAGGTGACCACACTTTTTATTACTCTGCTTCATCGGGTTGTATTTACAACTACTGTTCTGAAAAAATACCACATTATGCAAAATGAAATAAACTTTTTATATTTTGAAAACTAAGGGACTGAGCACACAGCCCTGTGGGACTCCGGGTGTCTGTGCTGAACAAGCTTTGCTTTGATGCTAAATGAACTTTAGCTGTTTTCTGTCATTTGTCAGCTCGGTGACATTCCTGCCGTGACCGCTCCTGGAAGGAAGAGAAAAGAAGAGAAAGAAGAAGAGAACCGAGAGGTCAAGAGGAAAAAAGAGGAGACTGTGGAGGAGAAGAAGAAAACCAGCCAGAACAAGGAGAGGAAAAATGAGATAACAAAGGAAGAGACAACTGAGAGCAGAGGGTCAAAAAGAAAGACAGAGGAGGAGAAAACMGAGGAAAAAGAGGGCGGAGTAAAGACCAGGAGAACTGAGAATGAGGAGAAAACCGAGGGGATGCAGAYGAGGAGAGCTGAGAACAAGAAGGAGACATCGAAGGAGGAAACGAAGGGAACTAAAACACCAGTGAAAGAAAGTGAGGAAACAGAGCGAATAAAAACCACAAAGACGCCTGAGGAGGACACAGATGGGAGTAAGACGAGGTTATCTGAGAAGGAGGCTGCTGGGGAGGAAGGAGAGGGAGTTAAAACAAGAGCCGAGAAAGATAAAGAGAAAACTAAGAGAATAAAGACGAGGAGGTCTGAGAAGGAGACACCTGAGGAGGAAACAAGTGGGACGAAGACGAGAACTGAGAAGGAGAAGACACCCGACAAGGAAGAAGAGATTATTAAAACAAAACAAGTGGAAAAGAGTGAGAAAACTGAAGGAGTAAGGACAGGGAGATCAGAGAAGAAGATGACTCCTGAGGAGGACACAAGTGGGACAAAGACCAGGAGGTCTGAGAAAGAGAAGAAGGAGAAGAAGACTTCTGTGGAGAAAGAAGAGATTATTAAAACAAAACAAGTTGAAAAGGGTGAGAAAACTGAAGGAGTAAGGATAGGAAGATCAGAGAAGAAGACGACTCCTGAGGAGGAAACAAGTAGGACAAGGACGAGGAGGTCTGAGAAGGAGACATCTATGGAGGAAACAAGTAGGACGAAGACGAGAACTGAGAAGGAGACATCTATGGAGGGAGCAGAGATCATTAAAACGAAAAAAGTTGAAAGAACTGAAGCTGTAAAGACAGGAAGAACTGAGAAGGAGAAGACACCCGAGGAGGACACAAGTGGGACAAAGACCAGGAGGTCTGAGAAAGAGACTTCTGATGAAGAAGAAAAGATAGTTAAAACAAAAAGAGCTATAAAAGACAAAACTGACGGAGTAAAGACAGGAAAAACTGAGAAAGAGAAGACACCTGAGGACACAAGTGGGACAAAGACGAGAACTGAGAAGGAGACTTCTATTGAGGGAGCAGAGATCGTTAAAACAAAAAAAGTTGAAAAAACCGAAGCTGTAAAAACAGGAAGATCAGAGAAGAAGACGACTCCTGAGGAGGAAACAAGTGGGATAAAGACGAGGAGGTCCGAGAAGGAGAAGGAAACGTCTGTGGAGGGAAAAGAGTTTGTTACAACAGGAAAAGAAAAAGATCAGAAAATTGAGAGAATAAAGACAGGAAGATCTGAGAAGGAGAAGACACCTGAGGAGGACACAAGTGGGACGAAGACGAGGAGGTCTGAGAAGGAGGCTTCTGTGGAAGGAGAGAGAGTAAAGAGAAGAAGAGATGAGAATAAAGAACAGAAACAGGCAGAGCAAAAGAAAAGCAAACAGGATGTCAAAGATGGAGAGAAAGCAGAGAAAGCCCAGCCAGAGACGAGCAGCAGGACAAAAGCAACTGAAACACTGCTGAAAACTGGGAAAGAAGTTCCAGAAGAAAAGAGAGATTTGAGGAGAGAGGAGAGTCAGAGGAAAAGGAGAAAGAAAGAGGTGGAGGAGAAGGAGACACAGAAGAGGAGAAAACGAGATGAGGAGGAGGAAAACGAAGAAAAGTCCAGTGGACCAGAGGAGGAAGGACAGAAGGAAATGAAGGATGGAAGAGAGATGACGGAGGAGGAGGAGGAGAAGGAGGACGACGAGGTAAAACTGCTTTTCAAATATTTATTAAAACTAGAGTATGTATGAAAGGGCTTGCCTCTTGGAGCAGGATTATTTACTCTTGGCTGCCACCACACCAAATTCTACCTCAATATGGCAAAAAAATGGCCAAGTTATGGTAACTTATTCCATTTAGCTATGGCGGCCATCTTTAATTTTTATTTAGCACTCAGAATTTGTCAATGCTTGTTCTTGGCTACTACTATACCAGTTTTTAGCTCTGTAAGTCTTAAAATGGCTGAATTAGAGCCTTTTTAATTAGCATTAGCAGTTAGCTTCATCTAGGAGCAGCGCAGCAMATTTAGTGAGTGTAGCGCGGCACATTTAGCGAGTTTAGCGTGGCGCATTTAGCAAGTTTAGCGCAGCACATTTAGCGAGTTTAGCGTGGCACATTTAGCGAGTTTAGCACGGCGCATTTAGCGAGTTTAGCGCGGCGCATTTAGCGAGTTTAGCGCGGCACATTTAGCCAGTTTAGCATGGCGCGGCGTGAAGCGGTATGTGCAGTTTGAGCGTGTTCCGTGCATGTGGCATGTCCAAAGCAGCAGACGCTTAAATTAAAAAAATTGAACTTTTGCTGCTCGACGCGCCGCGTCATCCAMTCAGAGACTCATTTTTCCATGTGACAGTTTCCTGAATGTTGCCCACTAACCTGAAACAGACGGAGCTCTTTAGCTGAAATCGACCAGCTGCAGTTGATGTTCTGGCTGGAGAAATCAGCAAATGACCACAGTGTTAAACTGGGCTCGGGACAAAAAAAGTCTGTCAGCTCGCAGCTCCTGGAGTGAAACCCACCGAACAGACTGCCTCTAAATTATCTGGTGARTTAATTATCTGGTGAGTTAATTATCTGGTGAGTTAATCATCTGGTGAGTCAATCATCTGGTGAGTTAATCATCTGGTGAGTTAATTATCTGATGAGTTAATTATCTGGTGAGTTAATTATCTGGTGAGTTAATTATCCGGTGAGTTAATTATCCGGTGAGTTAATTATCTGGTGAGTTAATCATCCGGTGAGTTAAACATCCGGTGAGTTAATCATCTGGTGAGTTAATTATCTGGTGAGTTAATTGTCTGGTGAGTTAATCATCTGGTGAGTTAATCATCTGGTGAGTTAATTATCTGGTGAGTTAATCATCTTGTGAGTTAATCATCTGGTGAGTTAATCRTCTGGTGAGTTAATCATCYGGTGAGTTAATCATCTGGGGAGTTAATCATCCGATGAGTTAATCATCCAGTGAGTTAATTATCCGGTGAGTTAATTATCCGATGAGTTAATTATCCGRTGAGTTAATTATCTGGTGAGTTAATTATCCGGCGAGTTAATTATCTGGCGAGTTAATTATCTGGCGAGTTAATTATCCGGCGAGTTAATTATCTGGCGAGTTAATCATCTGGTGAGTTAATTATCCGGTGAGTTAATTATYTGGTGAGTTAATTATCTGGTGAGTTAATTATCCGGTGAGTTAATCATCCGGTGAGTTAATCATCCGGTGAGTTAATCATCTTGTGAGTTAATCATCTTGTGAGTTAATTATCTGGTGAATTAATTATCCGGTGAGTTAATCATCCGGTGAGTTAATCATCTGGTGAGTTAATTATCCGATGAGTTAATTATCCGATGATTTAATTATCTGATGAGTTAATTATCCGGTGAGTTAATTATCTGATGAGTTAATTATCTGATGAGTTAATTATCTGGTGAGTTAATTATCCGGTGAGTTAATCTTCTGGTGAGTTAATCATCCGGTGAGTTAATTATCCGGTGAGTTAATTATCCGGTGAGTTAATCATCCGTTGATTTTAATTATCTGGTGAGTTAATTATCCGGTGAGTTAATCATCCGGTGAGTTAATTATCTGGTGAGTTAATTATCCGGTGAGTTAATCATCCGATGAGTTAATTATCTGGTGAGTTAATCATCTGGTGAGTTAATTATCCGGTGAGTTAATTATCCGGTGAGTTAATCATCCGGTGAGTTAATTATCTGATGAGTTAATTATCCAGTGAGTTAATCATCCGGTGAGTTAATTATCTGGTGAGTTAATTATCCGGTGAGTTAATCATCTGGTGAGTTAATTATCTGGTGAGTTAATCATCTGGTGAGTTAATCATCTAGTGAGTTAATTATCTGGTGAGTTAATTATCCGGTGAGTTAATTATCTGATGAGTTAATTATCCGGTGAGTTAATTATCCAGTGAATTAATTGTCTGCTGTGAGCAGCGTTCACTTGCTTTCAGTAAATAAAGCAAAGCCATTTTCTTTATTTTGTCTTTATTTCATCCACCATTAAAGACAGAGCATTAAATAAAACCAAGAAGCTCCTCCMTCTTCAGACACACGTCTAGTCTCGTTCCAGGTCTGAATGTAGCGTGTCCAACTTAAGGCATTGGGAGCATTTTAGATGCTCAAAATGCGTTCGGTCTGAACCCAGCTTAAGACAAGAAGTGATACTTCCCTAACTTCTGACGTACTTTGAGAGAAAATCATTGGTCCTACAGCAAAACCGAAACTATTACCTGAAAGAAGACAAAAATCCTTACGTTTTTATATATCATGTACCATGAAAGTTGTGGCTGTAGGAAGAAGGTGTTCACTAAGAAACCTTTAAAAAGCCAGACAGCTCTCAGTCACATGACTCAGAGAGTGGCAGTTGGCAGCTGGGTGATAAATCAATTAAATTAATTAATTTGAATTTGCCATTTCTAAAGATTAAATTTTGGGAAAATCTGGATTTTTTTTCCCCCACCAGTGCAGTCTTTGTGGCTTCTGTAGTTCAGAGGTCACCCCACCTGTCCCTTAAGACGCTTGGTACGTGACATGACTGTAGCCATGTTTCCATCAAGGTTTTTTAATGCTCATTTTCCAGTATTGCATCAGAAAAGGTGAATGGAAACGGCATGATTCAAAAAAACTTCCTGTAATTCACATAAAAGTTGATACGATTGGGGTGGTTTTTGTTTTTTTCGAAAAAGAGTTATGCGCAAAAGTACAGATGGAAACACATTTGTCGAATCAGTTCTGACGTAGCGAACATTTAAATGGTAAATGAACTGTACTTATATAGCACCTTTCTATCCATCCAGGACACTCAAAGCGCTTTACACTAACAGACATTCACCCATGCACACACACATTCACACACTGATGATGGCAAACTACAATTGTAGCCACAGCTGCCCTGGGGCACACTGACAKAGGTGACACATGGTTGATCAGCTGTTCTGACTGTCTGTCCGGAACCGGTACTGGTACAAGAGTGACTGCAGCTGGACCCTCCTGCCGCTGTCCGTGTATTCTCAGTTATTCCCGTAATGTGAAGAGAATTGCATTTCTTTCTTTACATCTCCAGACAGCAGTAACATCACCAGAACTAGTTGATATGACAGAATAAGTACAACTTTCCTGATAGTAACGTGTTCCTGACAACTTCTCTCCATTGTCCTGAGATGTGACCCGGGCTGTCACGATTAGTCGATTAATCAACGACCAATCAATAATGGATGACTAATTTAATAATGGATTAATCTGTTTTTTTTTTGTTCTTTACTTTGTTTTCTCTCCAAACTGCTTTGACACCTTCCACTGC